CCCCCCCCCCCCCCCTTTCTTTCAAAAAAATACCCCCCCCATATTTCCAAAAAAAATTTTTTTTTTTTCCAAAAAAAAGGGTTTTTTTTTCCCCCCCCCCCCCTCCCCCCCAAAAAAAAAATTTTTTTTTTTCCCCCCTTTTTTTTTACCTTCCCCAATTCCCCCAAACCCCCACACCACAAAGGATTTTTCCCCCCCCTCCCCCCCCCCCCCCAAAATCCTTTAAACCCCCCCCCCCCCCCTCCCCAAATTTTTTATTACCCCCCCCCCCCCCTATTTTTTTTTCCCAAAAGTTTCACCTTTCCTCCCTTTTTCTTTTTCACAACCCCCCCCCTCCACAGAAAAAAACCCGTCCTATACAAACAAAGTGGGTGGGGTTGTGGGGGGGGGGGGGTTGTGACCAGACCATACGCACATGTATGCACGCGAACGTATCAGAGGAGGGCATGCCCTGTTTGATAGACTGATATTGGGTGATCATCCGGTGACCGAGCGCAGTTGGTTGAGAATGGAACTGGGAAACAAACATATCGAACGGGTTGTCTTTCTTGAAGATAAGTACTGTTCTAAAGATCTAGAGTGTCAGGAAAAACAGTGATGATTCCGGATTTCCGTGAAATCTACAGCAGCAGCATCAGCAGTAGCAGTTGTCCCCAAATCTACATTTTTCCTAACCTTGAACACCCTTCATCGTTTATCAAAAGGTCTTGAGGAAATTAATACAAACACAGAAATACTACAAGTACCCGTTTGAGATACAACTACAGGAGTCGAAGGTCTGCTGCAGAAGTCGCCGACGATGGTTTCGAATCGAAGATGCATGCATGTACGCACTCCACTTGAGAGGGAAAAAAAAGTGGTTGACACTGCGGAAGGAACGTGGGATGGCGTTTGCGCGTGATACTCCCACCAACTAGAGCGAACAGAACGGGAAGAGCAGGCTAATCCATAACGCGTGTGATCTTGCTCAGCTAGGCGCTTTTCGTGCGAAACGCGTGTGATCCTGCTAAGCTAGGCGTTTTTCGTGCGAAAAGAGAACCTGCGGTGTGTTGTTTTGGCGCGGGCGTGTGAACGTCGGCGTAACTTCGACGTGACTGGGTTTATGACGGCACTCATTTTTTTTTTTTTGTTCGCAAAAAAGCACACGCACAGACTTTCGTCGCAGCCAGGAGAGCATACATGCAGCGGCTATAAATGCCATCATTACAGCAGTTGGGAGAAGTCCCACCCATTCGTTCACGGGAGCATCTAGCGGGGGGGGGCTGCGGGACAATGGGTTTTGGGAGGGAACGGTGACACAAGCCTACCCATCAGGGAGGGCCGAAGGCGTGAAAGCACTGACTCCTTTGGCCTTTGGTGGGGCTTGTTACGTTTGAACGTTGGAACTTTGGAACCCAGTTGTTGGATAGAGCAACCCGTGCACATATAATAGATCCATGCCTGTATTGGAACAACAACGACAACGACAACACCACGAAAACAAAAACGCGCCCACAGCAGGCACACGGCGCTATGCTACGCACCTGCGGAGCACGAGCCAGGTGTGCAGCCCGGCGGTGACGCTGATGCGGTACGCGGCGTACTTGCCGTCGCCATCTGTCCGCAGCGTGTACCCGTCGAGGCTGATCCTAAAGTTGCGCGGCATCAAGGACTGCGCCGCCCCATAGGAGGCCGATGCCGCGCCGGCGGCGCTGCCGCTGTCCCCGGCCCCTGACGACGAGTCCCTCTGGCTCCGGCCCGTCTCCTCCTCCTCTAGCTGTTGCGATGGCGTCGGATTGTCGCTCGTAACGTTCTCGGCTGCTGGGGCTTCGTGGTCAGGTGGGATCGGGATGGGCCGGGGCGGGATGCTGTGGCTTGTTGGTGGTGCGGCGGTAGCGGCGGCGGCGGCTGCACCGGGGGACATCGATGGCCCCAGGGCCGCCACCGAAGCCGGGGGCGAGGGGGCTCTCGTCGCGTTTTCCTGCTGGGCGGCGATCGTCGCCGGGGGAGCCTGTTCTAGATCATTCCCAGCCTTGTTGGTGGTCATGGGGTGGAGCATCGAAAGCGCTCCGGTTGGACGGATGTATCCCTGCAAGAGGGACTCGCTGCTGCTGCTGCTGCTGCTGCTGCTACGGTTCTTGCTTCTACTGTTGCTGCTGCTGCTGCTTCTGCTGCTGCGAGTGCGAGACGCACAGGCAGAACTCGCAGGGGGTCGTGTGCTGGATTCGTTGTGAAGGTGTGGCACCCGCCACAGCAGCAGGGGGAGGAAGACGGTGTATGTATGTAGTTGTTGACAGCTTCGACAGGCCAGATGCCCGAGACGAAGAGAGGCACGAAAGTACAACGCGGTGTGAAAAAAAGAAAAAAGTAGAGTCGACACTTGTTGGTTGAGCGCGGTTGACGCGCCCTGGGGTCTTTCTGTTCGGAGTACCACGAGTGGCAAACGGGAGGGTATTGCCCCACCCTCCTGGTGGCCTGATGCGGTTTGTCGTGGGGCGTCCAGATGTAGAATATAGGCAAAGATTATGTATGTATAACATGCAGATCGATATATTCCAGAAATCCACCCACAACTGGCTTCATGTTGATGTGCTGAGCAATCAAACAGGCATCGGTGATTTAGTTTTCCGATTGGTCACAGAACGGGTTCACGATAAGCAAATCATACATACGATACATGCATGAATGCTGCTGTGATGCCTGGTGTGCGGTGCTCAGGATGCTCAGGCCCACACGACGGGGATGGAGACTCCTGGATTGTCCCATGGCCGGTCAATGCGTGTGGGAACTTGTTGTGTGCAGCGGGTACTTCTATGTGCTGCTGTAGTTGGCCCTCTGTCTCCCGCCCATTCATTCTCTGTGTGGGTCAATCAACCACCTGACGACCTTGTTCTTGCACGAACAGACTACAAAAACGCGACATCTCGATCGATCCCTTGGATCATCAAAACAAAACAACCTAGAAGATTAGCGCCAAGCAGCGCCTACTTCTCTGGATGTCGTCGCGTGCTTCTTCTCCTGTTCCACGGCGAACTATCCGTAATAAGAACAAGTCTAGATCTCCCGCTGTGCGGGATTGCAGCACGGAGGAAAACCTCACTGCTGTGATGGGTGCTGAGAAATGCACGTTGAAATTTGAATACTCGGACTGGCTCTCCCCTCTCGCTATATCTCTGGATACGCCCCCCGCCTCTATTTTTTCCGATTGGAGCAAATGTTTTGTGTCCACATGGAAAGTCTCCCTCCAACCGGTGACGAATCCCTCGTCTCTTCTCCCTGACCCTGCCATTATCCCTCTCTATCTCTGCTGTCTGAGTGTAGATCTTGGGTCTGACGACGGCGTGCAACACAGCAGTGGGCCTGACAACAAGCAGAGAGGGCGGGTAGCAGCACTGCTGGGATTAGTCTAGGCTAGCGCGCAGAGAAGATCGAGCAACGAGCTCCGCCACCACCCGCCGTCGAGTCAGGAGAGAATTGTCAGCCCACCTCCATCAACCTCAACAGCCGTCGTCTGAGCAGAGCGCACAGGGTCACAACTCGGTGAGCCGTGAGGCAGCAGATGGATGGTGTGGGCGTTGTTGATGATATGTGCTTGAGATATACCTTCTTAATAACGCTGCGCCGCACGTCGATATTTTCGTTTTACGGCAGGCAGCGTGAGACGGTGCTGAGCAGGCATAACTTGCTGTAGGCACACAAAGGACATATCATATCTTCTTACTCAGGAGTCGCTGTGGATGCTAATTTTTTCTACTGAAAGCGCACCCTTGGGCGGCCAGTCTTGATGACTGGCGACGAATCGGTAAACATGCTGTGTTTTGCGGGAAGTCTTGGTGACTGAATGTATTATGCTGCGCCGTAAGAGATGTCAGGCATTGGGATCTTTGATCCCACGCTGCTGTTGGATCGCTGTATCTGCATGGTTCTCTACAGAAGTAGCAGCATGTAGTTCTGTACAGTGCAGCAGCAAAGGGTCTACTGGCGTACAACAAACAGCAGGCGATACACCCTTGCAGCAGTAGACAAAACAATGGTTGCCCGCTCGTAGCGTGTAGTCTACATAAGAAGCCCGATCATGTGGATGCCATAAGCAACCAGCAACGCCGCTACTACTGTATGCATATGGATAGACCAAAGACATCGCGTACAAACCGTGGCGGATCGAGCCTACCCACAGCAGTACTACTGCCTACACAGCGTCCTTCTCTGTAGGAAAAATATCATTTTTTCCTGAAGAAAAATAACCCAAGATCGCTCCGCGGTGGATCCTGCATTTACTGCATCATCTGTGTGATGGTATTCTGCTGTGGACATTTATTGGCTACGAATACAGGAACGGAGGCTGGGGCGGGTCAGTTCTAGACATTACCACGACAGCAATCAATATATGGGGACGACGCGTAAAAGTCTACCCGAAAACGTAGGTCCGTGGGCTGCCGCGTGCCCTGATCTCTTCTGAGTTTCCACGGGTTGCCTATGTGGTGGCATCTGCTCAAGGGTAAACGTGTGTACTGTAGCGACAGCCAAACGGTGAGGTGAAAATGTCAAAAGGGGCAGCTGAAATCGACAACCTGCTTATATGCATCGCGGCGTACTGCAGCAGTCGATGTCCACGTCCAGAAAAGCAAATGTCATGATGTACCGCAGCAGAAGTGCGCAGATTCTCGTACCTGCCGATTACGGCAAGGGCTGCAACAGAGCGGAAGAAGCCTCCTGTTAAAGGATGACGCCGTAACAGACGTGTACTAGGTAGACTTACGTTTTCGGTACAGCAGTCAATGAAAAAACGACGCGACGAGAGCAGGCTGGCACTGGCTGTCGACTCTCTGCGACTCAATAACACCGTGTGCATCCTCACTCTTCGCCATCGCCGTTTCCGTCCCCACCGCCGTGCAATGTTCTCGGCCCAATTCCCACGCGAAGAAGTTTTTGCACAGGAGACCTCACAACGGACCCGCCCCAGTGCTGAGCGCGAACAAGACTGCTGTGGTCTTCGCACGAAGGAACCCCAACGAGCGCGGAAGCAGAAGCAACCCAAGGGTAATAGCCGATAGCGATGCTGCCGTCCACGATCAGCCAAGCCGTCGTCGACTTTCCCTCCTCGGGGGTATCCCCGTCCGCGATGACGGCCGAAGCGATGGCACACGACGAGGACAGCTTCGTCGACCTCTACAAGGGGGCACTCGCGGTGACCCCGCCTCCGCCCTCCAACGCGAGAAGCCCGCAGATGCAGTGGGGCACGGCTCTTCCGTTCGCGGGAAACGCAGGAAACGACGACCACATCGCCGCCCCCGCCCCCGCCAGCGGCAGCATCGAGTTCGGCGGCACCCGTGCCAACCCATTCTCGCCCCTGCCCCTGTCCTCCGCGTCGCCGACCACCCTTCAAACCAACAAACAGTCCTTGCTTCCCGCCAGCAGGAGTAGTGTCGCTGTCGCGGCCGTCGCGGCGACGCCGACGCCTGTGCTGCCGCCGCCGACGGCACGCCGGCCTGCGCCCGCCGCCGCCGACCCGCCCCGCGCGGCGAAGCCTTCTTCCGGGCCGACGAAGGCTAGGGCGAAGGGCGGCGCACGCAAACCACGACGGGTAAAGCTGCATGACGACGGCGACGACGACGATGACCCCGAAGACGGTGCGCCGGACCACAGGGTTTGCCTGCTCGCCGTCGGCACGAAGAAGCAACGCCTCGGCGGCGCGGGCAGTACCGTTACCGTTACCGGCGGCGGCGGCGGCGGCGGTGCCATGGACAGCGGCGCCTCCCTCGACGACGTGATCGGCATGCTCACGGCCGAGATCAATCGGAACGGCCGGGAGGCGGAGACGGAGCGCGTGGACACCGGGGAGCGCGCGGTGCTGCAGGTCCGGGCCTTGGCGCGGTCTGAGTTGCGCTACGGGATCGTACTGCTCGAGGTGGAAGGATCGCGGGCGGCGGCCATAGCGACCGCTCGGGAACTCAAGTGCGCGTGCGGGCGACGTGTTTGGTTTCTTGTAGACGCCGGCCGCTTTTGTTTTGCTAGCTGGCCAACGGGAAAGATGGTAGTCTCTGCACGTGGGCGCGTCGAAGATCACAACGTTTCGTCTTCCATGAAAAAGAACGTCTTTGGTTTGTCTCCCCCCTCACGGGCAGGTGTTGGTACGTGTTTTGCCCGCGCATATCTTGCATGTGTCGTCTGTCTGGACCGGCTGCCCGCAACAAATGATGTCATCGGGAACGTCGCAGCGACGCTGGAATGCCTGCTGTTGGTTCAAAAGTTGCAACTAGAACTATCACATTACGTGGAGCGCCAGGCCTTCACTGCCATCCGCCGGTTGGTTGCCGTTTGCAACACGCTGTCCGAGTGTGGCCGATCAGTTTCGACCCAACGGAACGCTTGTAAACTGTAGAAAGAAAGAGCAACAATGAGTTTTTCGTCCGATGTTCGTTACTACCCCCCCCCCCCCCCCCCAACAGGGCTGCTAACCCCTCGACTCCCATCATAGCGGTCGCCTCTCCGCACGCAATGCTCACCCCGGCTCAGCTTCTGTCGAGCGAGGGGTGGCGCGATTTCAACGAGATCCTTCCATTCCCCGTCAGCGCCGCCACGGTGCGCGGCCTCGCGACGCGGTACCTCCTGGCCCCGCCGGGGGTGGCGGCGGCGGCGGCGAGCTCGGGCATGGCGGGGGAACCCATCAGCTCCGGCCCGGCCGCGGCGGCGGCGACGTTTGGGCAGCTGGGCCGGCACACCGCCGGGAGCGGGAGCTGCTGCGGCGGCACCTTGGTGCCGTCCCTCCCTGTTGCGGGTGGATCGGGGAAGGTTCCGCCGCCGCCATCGCAGCAGCAGCAGCAGCAGCAGCAGCAGCAGCAGCAGCACCTGGGGCAGCACCAGCAGCAGGGGACTGGGGCGGCGTTGTCGCCCCACGGCGTGGCTTGGAGCGTGCTGCCAGATGCTGAGGAAGGCGTTTTTCTGCCGTCGCAGCCGTTGCTCAGCGTAACCGGTACATGTGCGAGGAGGTGAAAAAACTCTTGCTTCGCGAAACCGCTACAAGTAGGGTGACGCTGCAATCCACAGCGTAGGTCTTGTGTCACCCGCGTAATCGGCGGCGCAAAGAACGACGCACATTTTTCTCTGAATCGACCAACCATACACAAGATCACGGCGTGGGGCGGTATCGATAGGAAAACAGCAGAGAGCGATAGATCATGACGCTTCACATGGCGGATTGGTTTTTCTGAATGGAAATGTTTGACAGTTTCGGAACGTCGCACGCCCTGTGTGTTCCTCAGAAAATCCTGGCGCTGCAGCGGCTTTTCTTACCGTATGGGTCCTGTTTCTATGGTGTCATCGCGAGTCCATGTACGTCCACGGGACAGGGGACAGTACTTGTGCGTTGTGTTGCTTACCATGAACATTTGTCCGTCGGCACTCACCCCTTCCGAGACAATGCACATGCAATTTATAAAAATGCTCTGGATTGTTTGGTCCTCCTACATCCATTTCGCGTCCGTCTACTCGTCCTCACCCGGATATACCCATACCTCCACCCCCCCTCCCTACGGGCCGCCGAACAAGGGCTCTGGAGGGGTTGGCTAGGCCCCGCGCCGCGATGGCATCACCGTCGTCATCGTCACCCGCCACTGTTGAAGAGACTCTGGCATCGCTGAAAAGGCGAGTTTTCGGCGGGAGCGAGGAGGACCGCGAGTTGTCCTGCGGGCTGTTCGGGGAAGAGTTCGAGATGAAGAACGCCGAGATCGAGGACAGGTAGGTCTGGGCTAATTTTGGAAGCTCGGTTTGTTGCAGCGCCAACCGAGTCTTCCGGATCCTCTCACCTTGGCGTGATATTTAGCTTGCTTCGCTCGAGGTCGCAGGGTACAAAACAACAACCAGACAGAGTGTGATTGTGTGCTGGTTGCTGTTTTTTGTCGTACAGTGTACAGGTCTCAGCACGGATGTTGGTTTGCAAAGAAATATGGGAAAGAGGATCGGGCGGTATTTTTGTGATAAGCCAGTCCTCCTCGCTCCTTCTGAGCTTCCACCTCGACGAGCGCTCTCCCAAGACAAAGCTCACGGCCGTTGGTTCTTCTGCACGCCCTGATCAAGAAGCCCCTTCGGTGTTTCGTTGTTTGGCCTCCCTCCCTCACAACCTCCTGTGTCGAAACGCTTCGATGCTGCCTTTGTTGGCGTTTCGAGCAGGGAGTACGACTTCGTGTTCAGGCACGGCACCATCCTGGTCAGGGTGGAGGAAGGCGTCGGCGGGGAGGTTGTCCCGATGGTGGGCATCTTGTGTTCCACCTTACTTTCCGACTGTTGTACGTATCGCTTATGGAGTTTTTTTTTCTCCCCCACCATGGTTATTTTGTACGACTATGAGTGCACCCCCCGCCCCCCCCCCAACCAAGATTACTTGCTTCAGTCCACTCAACGTTATGGTGCATGCCGGGATTCGAATTAGCAGCCGTGAAAAGTCGAGTAGTGTAGTTCTCTGGACTGCACGTGCTTCACCGAGAATATAGGTTCAGAATGACATTGCGCCACCCCGTGCTGCCGGCGTATAACAACGACGGCGCAACTCGTAGCGAGTCGATACATGGCAGACAGCACCCTTTGGCTATTACAATCGGGTCCCTCATAGTACCAGTATGTGTCCGCCACATTCACCGGCACTATAACGGGCCCCAGGCACTATTCAGAGTACGAGACAAGTTGAATTCGAAGTTCCCATCTCACGCGATTTCACAGGCACGATATTGAGCAGTGGCACTATTCAACCGACACTATTGAGGGACCCCCACTACACGTACAGCTGTTTTCCAGCTCGTTGATATCGCCTACCCGATGTGGTTGGCCGTAGACTGGACGGTGTACCCTTGCCTCGATGTCACCGTTTGCTGGCCTTATCGCTGGCCTCTCACCTGTGTTTATGATTGCGTGGTTGCAAGGCACCTGCTGGGACGCGGTTTTTGCCGGGGTTTTGAACCCCCGGAACCCCGAACCTAGGGCCGCGTGTCGATACTTCCAAAAGCTGTAGACAGGTCTGCATAGCTTATGGTCGACTGAACCTCACTGTGCCGCTTGTTTCGTCAACTGTCGTACGGTAATGCTCCACACACAGTCAGGCAGACTATATTTTTGGAGATAGTCGATCCCCCCGCGCCCCAATCGAGTATCTTCCAAGAGTCGGGCAACGCCCCAATCCCGCCCAAAGTAATCTAGCGACGTCTATAAACCCTTGCCGTGCACATCCCTCCCCCGCTGCTCTTTCCTGCATCCTGACCATGGGATGTTCCAAAGAAGCTTCTCCTTACAATAGAAGGCTTCATAGGCCACGTGGTGCGAAAACACGCGGCAGGGCATTTTCGGGGTCAAAGTCGATGTATGATTTATCTCGCTACTACAGATCTTGTCTCGCCGGATGGGTCGTTCCTGAGTGCGGCGGGACTGAGCAGAGCCCGGAATAACATTGTCGGATATTTTAGAAACGAGAACCAGCCACATACGGCAAATTGTAACCCGTGTGACTGGCGTCGTCGACAGCCTAACCCGCGTCGAAGCAAGTCGAAACTGCGCTTGAGTGTTCCCGAGGGCCCGCGTCATTGTAACCTCTCGCTGTGCCGTACATGTGGTTCCGTCTCGTGTCGCCGGCGGTGGGGGCGAGTGCAGGTGTTCAGCCTGTGTGAGTACGCCACGGACCACTTCGGAGATCTGACCGGGCTTCCCCTTCAGGTAGAACGCCTGAGGGAACGGTTGTCATGTGCTATGTTCCCTAGTTGATTCCATACCCTTATTAGTTGTTTCGGGTCGCTTAGGTGCACCCGCTCGTTGCCAAGTTTGTCGCTTTTGGAGGGATGCTTGCCTTCGCCTTCCGAATCATCCATGGCCTTGTTCGGGACGATGCATCTCGAATCTGTCCAAAATCTCCACGAGACACGCACTTTCGCCCCGGTTGTCCCGAATATCGATCTGAATCCCGCCGACCGTGCCTGCCGCCTTTTCTTCTTCATAGTGGCTGTTCCACGAAGATGCCACCAACAAGAAGACCGCCGCGAAGATCATGATGCACATCGAGCGGAGCGACTCGGACAGCATGTGTTGGTGAGTGCATCTAGTCCACTTGTTTTTTTTTGTCTCACTTCACACAAGCACTTGTGCGAAATACTCCAACCCGTGGTCACACAGAAGGGTTCCCCCCTACCCACCCCTCCATGTCGCTATAATATACCGGTCTCCTGTGCTGGAGGAGAGCTCCCTCCTCTCCGTTCTTCCACTCTTTTGTTTTGTTCTTGTACCCTCTATGGTACGATACAAACCGGTAAAATGCATCCGAGGGCCTAGCTGTGCGAGGGCATTCTCTCGCCGGGCATGCGGATGCTTGCTGATAGGGATCACGAGCAGTTGTGCCCCTCTGTGAGCACCCTCCTCCTGCGGGCTGCCGCCTGTTCCGATTTGCGGCGCCCTCTCCGCTGTTGCTGAGTCTCTGGTTCTCGCAAGCCATTCTTTGTAGATGTCCTGCATCCATGAGCGCATGATTCCTGTCCACATATCCGGCTTTTTCGCATTGATCGATGAAGGAATGATGGCAAATTCAATTTCTGCCTGCCCACGGGCCAAAACGGAGAACAACGAACAAACACCGACTTCAAGAGTGTAGATGACCTAAGTCCCGCGTTGATAGGACTCCTCGAACGATTGGCGCTGTGACTTGCGGCCGATGTTGTTTTGGCTCACCCTCCCCCCCCAACTCCGCCGGCACGCCTCTGTTGCAGCTACGTCAACCTCAAGAGCAAGGTTCGGCGGTGGACATCCTCCTTTGTCTCAATCCGATCGCTGTCAAACCGCCCAGAGAGGGCACATGAACAACGAGTTGGCCACGAGGTGTGAGCAAGTTGAATGGCAAATGCGTTCGATCGTGGTAGGGCTACCGAGTTCGAACGCGCGAACCCACAAAGGTCGCGACTGGCTTCGGTAGTCGTGGCGTGACAGCTCGAAATCTACGCAACGAGGTGGCAAGGGCGCTTCGTGGCGATCTTACCGGGAGCTTTATTTTCTCATACCTGTACCGTTGGTCTCCCTCTCACAAATCGTTGAATCGAGACAGTTGGACTCAAAGATTTTTGGCGACGATGCCCCCGTTCGAGCGACAGGCCCCAATTATGCTTCCCTAGCTTACGCCCTTGCATAAGAAGCTTGCTCTATTCGCGCATGTTGTTTGGTTTTGACAGGTTTGCCCCATAGTATATGAAATTGCGTACATTCAACCTTCATACTTCCCCGCAAAGAATGGTCACGAAAACGATACGTTCCGGGTGTTTCGCTCCCTGCGGTGTGTCCCGCTGTAGGGGCTAGCGGCATTCCTCGCCCCCCCCCTCTCTGGCCTCGCCGGCTTCAGCGCGACTGCCCCCAGTCACGCTTGCGCTTCGTGGTCTCGGAAAGATGGATTCCCCCCCCCTGGACTAACTCCGGCCTCTTTTTCGCCTCTTCCACGCACGGTTGCAGTTGGGTTTACCCGTATCTTGAGCTAGCATTACTGTTCGCGTTCTCTCTCTCTCTCTCTCGCTCTCTCTCTCTCTCTGCCTCCATGCTGTCCTCTCTCTCCCCTCTCCAACAGCATCTGCCGCCGTGGTATGTGCTTCTGAAGGTCTGCTTGCCGTCCGCGCTGGGGCTAATCAAGGAGCCCGAACTTTTGCAGCAACTGTACAGCAAGAAAGCCGCGGAAGCCAGCAAGAGGGTGAGGTCGCTTGTCACGACAAAAGGACTCAAGACGATTGTGGATATGCCTGGATGATGAATTATTCTGGTGTGATGTTAGTCTGAGGGAAGCCAGGTCGACGATTCTGCTTGTTTGAGAACCGATAACAATGCTTGGGTAGCATCAAGGTTCCACCGAAATGAGGAACCATGACGACAGAGCTCAATCTAGCAAATCTGCTGCCGGCTATGTTGGGGGGTTCTTCTCTTGAAGGCGGGAACAGCCCGGGGCACCAAAGCACCGTCAGTTGTCGTTGAACACGCACCGAATCTCTCCGTATTCTTCGCGTATGCGAACGCGTGTTTTTCGCGGAGGGGGGAACCAGAATGACGCCACCTCGGTGTAGTGCACAAAATACGATTTTTTTGCTTCATGTGTCTTGTTGAGTGCACGAACATCACATTTGGTTTCGGATTTCATGCTTAGTGTTACTGCTGCGTGTGCGGGAGCACTTCTTGCCAAGGCCAGTCGACGCTTTATCGGTTTGGGGCACTAGTGACAATATGGTGGGGTTCAGAGCGCAATGCCTGTTTCTATGAAGACGTCGACCTCGCTAGTAGGTACTCGGAAAACACACGTGATAGTTGTGTGCTTTGATCGGCATGATCTGACGTTCGATATACATTTTCTGCCATGAAGAATCACATGCACGTCCTCGCCGATACCACCTTCGGACAACAGGCCGCTCCGCAGAAGGGCAGAGGCAAAGTCGGGGCGAAGAAGACCAACAAAAAGGCCAAAGGGGCACCGGTGGCTGGCGATATCCAGAGCAGGGAAGGCGTTTCGAGTGAAGCCTGCACCTAGCCCAGTCAGGATTTTCCCGAACCCAGCAAGGCTGAGATAGCGGAAAAGCGTTTTCTGCCACCAGCAGAGCCCCGAATTTTCACGGTTTACGACAGCAATTGCTAGGCATTTTACTAGTGTTTTTTATCAGTCACTCGTAAGCGGCCTCTATTCATTCATACGACACGCGATGTTTTCGAGGCTCACACGGTCGTGGGGCTATGCGTTGTTTCGGTTGAACCTTTTGGTGTGGAGTTGTTCTCGTTCAAAACTGTGCATACATGGGCGGAACTACTCTGACTAAAAAATCTGGATACCTGCAATATCTGAAGATTTTGTGCCGGCTGGCGCACTCATCCTTCAGTATGCAGACTAGGCATACTGAAACAGACTCAAAGTGAGCCCAGTAAAATTATCCAGAAGGTTTCGTTTCTCACTCACGCTGTAGAGACTTCAACACACGTCCCTCGAGTGGGCATTCTCTCGAACGGGTATCCGCAGCCTTTCGGTGATTGAACGCCTACCCCCTACTTGTACATGCACCCGTTCGAGAGTCCAAGAGAAATTAACAACCCTGTTCGAACCGACCCCTCTGTTCATACAGTGAGGGTTGACGGGAAAGTTTTCGTTTTACATAAAATCAACTGATACATTAAAAAATGCAACGACAACCTCGCAACATACATGGTTGGCCGAGGGGATCACCGTCAACCTCATGTCTTTGACAAAAAAAGCAAATTTTTGGTACTACAGTAGTAGTATTGATTGCGACAATTTATTGTAACAGCTTGTTGGCACTTCAATATAGTGTCGATGGTCGATGGTGATGAATTGATTTCTGTTGTTGTTGTTGTTGTTGTTTTTGCTGTTGATGTGTCCTCTATCTACATTTATTTGGCAATCGTGCTGACGGTGATATAGCAGCACTCCGAAGGTATACCGATTTTGGTAAATGTCAATCAACGGATACCCTGCGAATCGGGTCCTCCTTAACAGTACCTCATTTACCCTCCTCCTCAGCGGCAAAGACAGCGCCATGTTTTTCGTGGTCAGAAGCACACTCAGATTTGCAAGGAACAACCATGAACAAGGCCATAAGCAGGGTACTCGCAAGGAACCAACCTCTTTTTCCCTTTTTAAGGAACACAACAAATCCATCTCTTCCACATATGAGAGTCCGTGATAGATTAGCAATGAGTTTGCAGTGTTGTACGCTGACCAACATTATTCTACCGGACATGGCGAAAGGACTGCTTATTCGAAAAGCAGCTCTAGTGGAAGTCGAGAAGTAGCGGTGATATATAAATGAACACGCGAACTCTTTCTTTTGTTCATGATATATTTCATGATATCTGGATTCCCTTCGAACGACGTGATACTCTCTTCAACAGGCACAAACAGTAACAAACATTTTTTTTAGCAGGCAGGCTAAAAATACCTAGGGGACACTCATCCACACCCTGTTAGACATGGGTCGGGCGTTCAAGGAGTGACAGCCGCCCTAGAAGGATATTTTCTACGAAAAAACCGGGAAACTATTGCGGTCTTTGTACGTATGTAACTGTCGCTAGGAAAAATACGGTCCAGGCACACAGCACACCAAACCACACGGACCAAACTTCCACGAAAATCGCGTCAACGATCGCCTGTTCACACATACATTGAAGGCACGGGCGTCAACGCTTCCTCCATCACACCAAAATGAAGTTCGTGCCCGCCCTGGTCCTTGCTAGTGCTGCGGCATTTCTAGTGGGTGCCGGTGTGTTTGTTTCCGCTTTGGACGACTCTGCGACCAAGTACTGCGGCGGGCATGAATACCTAGTAGGCGACGGAACGTGCGACGACCTGGCCAACAACGCTAAATGTGGTGCGTATTTTCTAAGGTGTATGTCAGAGGAGGCGGGGGGGAATAGGCAATAATACTTGAAGGTGCCGCTAGTCCTATTCCTGCCCAGTGCCCGGGACCGGCATGCTTTTCTCCGCTTTCATTCTCCGCGTCAAAAACAGTTATTCGAAGGTAATTAGCGTCGTATTATAGTAACTCCGGTCCAAAGGAAGTTTTATAAGATAAAATTAGACCATCTGATCAGTCAACCGTTGACTGATCAGATGGTCTAATTTTATCTTTTAAAGGATACCCGCACGAGTTCGGATACCGGCGGGATCACTTTTCTCTGCATGAAATTATGTCACCATTGTCAAAACAGCAACGCATGGCAAGGGGTCCGTCCCCGAAGATCCCTACTCTCGATCCCAGTGATTAAAAAGCTTAACCCCAAGTGATCCGGCCGGGTGCTAACGAGCTCTGAGCATACCTTTTATAAGATAAAATTAGACCATCTGATCAGTCAACGTTGACCGATCAGATGGTCTAATTTTATCTAATAAGTTTGAGGTCTTGTTTATCGACAGACGAAACAGCATCACGGCGAACACCTGTCGAGCTTCAATGTTCTCTTACCGTGCCCACGCGAGATGATTCGTATTCTTCATAAAACTCCGGTCTCAAGGAAGTGGGTCTTGATACTGTTGTTGTCGACAAACGAAAGGCACCAAGGTTGGTTACGAACGGGCGATGAACGCGATTGTTCTTCTTATCATGCCCACGCGTCCAATAACGCTGCTTCGGGGATGGTGGTCGTTGGTATTAGGAAAATATATATTTGAACACATATATATGTTGGTTTGTTGTCGTGTAGACTGCACACTCGACGAGGTAGTCTAGTCGACGCATGCAGATTAACCGGGTCTGTTTACGTACATGGCACCAACATGTACATACGCAATGTAGACAACAGTACTGCCGAGCAGAGCCACCGCAATGAATGCGTGCCATAGAAACATCTCAGTATGTTGGTGTTGCTGCCCTCTCGTATTGTACATGCATCAGACGCCATCGCTTGCGTGCCCGTTGCTTTTCTCTTCCCGACCGACAAGAAAAATCACGCCGCTATTCGCAGCTTTTCACCACTTCATCACTGGCGCTATTTTGAGCTCTTGCACACCGTGCCGTAGCTTGCCTTGGCATCCGTCACCTCGGGGGGCACTATATGATGAAGCACATGGGCAACCCTCTCAAATCAATGCAACAACAAGTGCTTATATCCATCTCTCGATCTATGGACGGTCTGTCGGGTCTCCAACAAGACGGACACCTTGTTTGAGGCTCGGATGGTTGTGTCTACCAACAACTATTTTCTCCTTTCTGAATTCAGATGAAGCAACCAATCTATCTTTATCTAGATAGTAAAGAGTGTAGGATATGTTCGGCACAGTACAGTGTAGATCAACTCTGTATCTGCCATCTGCCACCTGCCCCGCGGAAGCTTATTCCGCCGCGTTTCGACCGTTACAAGAACAAGTGTTTTGTTATTCCGCCGCGTCTGCAAGACTGCTGCTGCACACTGCTGGACTTTGTAGTCTACACTATTAGTGCAGGTGTACGTTGTGCACCGATCACAACCTGCGAAGGGTTGGGTGGAGAGGTTGGGAAGCCGGGATTGACCTTGAAGGCATATTTGTCCATGCTGTAGCCCACCGTGTGAGTTGCAACATAGCGCCACTGCTGTTCGAGATGCGGGATTTTTTGCCCACGTTGTTGCGGGGTAACCTATAACCTACACTATTAGTCTACAGCAGTACACTGGTGGCCAGAGGGCAGGTTGTGGGTCGGTTGTGGGCATCCACAAGGTAGGGGCAGGTTGTAGAGGGGGGTTGGGAGGAGGTCCCAACCTTGGCCAAACGGCTTGGTTGTACAAGGACGGATGCGGAAGGTCGGGAGGCAGCCACAACGTGAGGCCACTCACACCTCTTGGTTGTGCAAGCACCGGTCACACAGGTTGGAGGGCAGCCACAACCTTAGGCCATAGATACCACGTAGTTGTGCAAGCACCGATCACACAGGTTGGAGGGCAGCCACAACCTTAGGCCAGACCTCTTGGTTGTGAAAGCACCGATGTTACAGGTTGGGAGGCAGTCACAACCGAAGGGCAGACCTCCTGGCTGTAGATTGTGGTGTCGGTTCGACGGTCCGGGAAAACAGGAACGTTTGTTCGAAGAGCAGATAGAATAAACTGGTGTTTATTTTGTAACAGTCGAATTAGAATTTGGCTTCATTTTCTATCGGAAACCCAGGGTCACGGTGTTTGGATTTATTGTTGTAGTCTATAGGTAGGGATGTCATTCCGTGATCGAGTCCACGCAGGGGCTGTAGCAAAGTCGGGTAACGTGTGAGAGCTACAGAGCGCGTGAAGCAACGGAAGGACAGCAGCAGCCGCCTAACGCAGTAGCGGCGGCAGTTTAGAAAATGGACGGGACGGGACGCGGCGCAAGCATTGGGGAAGCGACCAGCGCGCGCTCGGGACCCTCCATATAAGGTGTGTAATCGGGTCCGTGTCCAACATCCATCGTGTCTGCCGTGTTCCTTCCCGCGTCCCGCTACTCTTGTGACCTCACCGCTGCGTGCATTAGCGCGCGGGGGGGAGGGTGCAGTAAGATAAGCGGCGTACCGCAGTCTCTCTCGCCACGCCGTTCAGATAGGTACCCTCCCACACATGGGATGTGGTTCATCCCAACCGAGATGTACTATCGCTGAAAAAATATTTTAACGGAGAAAACGCGCTGCTGTACGTGCCACGATAGCAGCCATCGTACTGCACGGGGTGGGGAAACCTTGCGGCATCGGACATAACCGATCGACCCGCGGCAGTGGGGCACGTGGCGTGTGCTGTCAAGAGTATGCACATGGTGCCGGTGCCTTGTTCTCTGTTTCCCGCGGCTCACTCGGGACTACTTGCCGGTACCTGGTCTGTGCCGCGCACAGACGGGTAAATGTAGCCGAAGGCATCGACGATAATATGCTCACGTAAGCTATCGTCTCCACTGATGGCATTGGCAAGTCCCACGGTATACAAAGCGGCCGCATGCGTAATTGGAAAGTGCATACAACAGCATTCACGGGAACGGATGAACAGAAGCAGAAACCGTGTTGTTGGCGAGTGGAAGTTAACCGATCTCAACGC